ATGTTGTTTCATTATTAATTAAACAAAGAGAACATTAAGTAAAAGGCATTGTTACCGAATGGTGTATTCGCTAACAATACTTCTTCTAAGGCAGCCTTATCATCGATCGTGTGCATTTCGACGAGATCGAATAAATTTGGCTTCGTCTCGAATTCTTCGAAGTAGTCCATCACACACGGTTTTATCGAATTGGCCTTTTGCTAGAATGAAATGACGAGAATCAATTTCAAAATAGAAGTTTATCGTTGATTCGATGCAGTGCTGGTGAGGCACCTAATGCGATAATGTTATTGTTACATTTCAATGTGATAATCAGCAATAATTTCTGAAATTATAACTAAATGACATAAAATAAAAGTACAACTACTCTCAGTGATTAGTACATCGATGACATAGGTATCAGTGATCAATGAGTTAGAAGTAATTATGCAAACTGAAAAAGAATTACCAGAGAATTGTGGAATGGAGCACGACTAGGCTCGAGAATTCCTGCAGAGCGAGCTTTCCTTAGTGCCGTAGAATGTGGTTGTGGTTGAGTTGTTGATGCTGACGATGAACATGGTGATTGTGGCGTGTCACTGATCGGAGACTGCTTCGATGCCTTATCATTCTCATAATCACATATTGCTTTGCGTTCGTTTTCGAAGTGATACTGAAATCGAGTTCACACTTCGTTGACGAACTGCAGCGTTGTGAATGGACACAAGACTAGGAAACGTTTCTTCAGGTGGACGATAATGTAATAATAAACATATTTCTGAGCTGAAATATTATAGTTTGAAGCTGATCATGCGTTCAGTTATGCTCAATCATCACTACACTCAATCAATTATCCATTCAAAAAAATGCACTTATGCAATAAGCACCTCTGGTATTTGTGGCATTCTGATGATGATATTCGGTATGGTTATCAATGGTAAAGGATAGAATTTCTGATCAATATCCATTGAAACATCTTCAATGTAATCTGAAAAAGATCTAAAGTGATCAGCAAAAACAAAACTGCAGCTGTAAAACCACTTTAAGAGGCCAATAATCAACAAAGAAGGCTCTGAATGTGATCATTAAAATTTATTTTTGAACGAACAACTGGTGATAAAGTGTTTGATTGATTGCAATGGGTTTTGAATGGCTGACATAAAATAATAATGATTCATTTATACACTGACGCTATACGGCTCAATGAAAAGAAGAAAGTGAATGAATATTATTTCGATAATGACTCCTCATTACTTGAACTAAAACGAAACGCACCTTGTAAACGAGCCGATGACATACGGAAAGACGTAACGATAAGCTTCTAACTCAGATTACACAAGCTTTCATTAAAAGAGAACACTGATAATCGATTAATACGCTTCACGAATCGAAGTGACCACTACAAACGAATTTTCAAAAAACTGATTAAGTGCTAATAGCCAGAAGTAGTTAATAGAGGACTAGTTAAAGTGTAATTGTTACTCGTTCGGTGATCACGATATGAGAATGTAACACCTGAAAATGAACATTTCTATACGTATCTTCGGTAATGTGCGATAAGCGTAACTCTTTGAAAGAAATAGTTGAAAAGAGTGAAACAATGAAAAACTATTCAAACACGTAATGATGCGAATGCGAACGATAAATGGAGAAGGGAATTAATTTACTAAAGAATACCGCTAGTGTACGTACGATTGCGAATGGAATAATGCATGTGTATGCGAGCCCATTAAAGTTTTCTAGAAAACTGAAACCTGTTCGTCACACGAATAAACACGCACAAATACGATATCTTGTGAATGCTCTATTCATTAGATGAAATAGCTATTCGTATAATACCACAATACCATGCTTCAACGCTCGCTTTCATGATACGAACATCGTGTAAACGTGAAATTTAATCCAAACAGCAGACTGATGACAAGCATATTGTGAGAGCTGAGCCATCCTTCAGATTAGTGTTGGCTCGGTGGCCACCGAAAATCGATCGGTAATTACCGACGATTTTGCGGTGGTCCCCGACTATCGGTGAATACCGAGTTGCGGTGATTACCGACCCGTCGGTGACCACCGACCGCAACCGACCAGGCTTGCTCGGTCGGTGACGGTGGCAAACCACCGGGCAGTTACAACCGATCGGCGACTGACCGATGCGGTTGGTGAATGCCGAGTTGCGGTAATCACCGACAAGGCTCTCCATCGGTGAGCACCGAGAAAAATCTTGCGGTTCCCAACACTACTTCAGATTGCAAAGAGTAAAAATGAGAGATACGAATCGTCATCCGAATAATTCTTAATCGTAATTCGACAATTTTTTTAGTTAAAATACCAACTTCAACACTCATATACTTACTTCATGCATCCTTGCAAAAACATATTATTCAAATCATTCAAATGAACGAAAATCAACTCAAGGTCGACTAATTAATCAAATGCACTCGCTGATTTGCGTACGAAGCTAGACGTGAGATTGAAAATGAAACATTAAGCAAATTGGAACAACACTTGGAAAAACGTCTGTTTGCTTGGAATATGAATAAATATTACTGTACTGTAAACAGAGTAAATTCTTTTGAATAAAATGCCTCGTTGAAATATAAATATTGGGTATTCTTACTGCTAATTGGAACAGTTCAACCATTAACCGAATGAATATTGCTTTTCGATCATAAAGAAATTTATTCAATTCAGAATCAACTTATAGTGCACATAAAACATTGATAACACACAGAGTAAACAAAATGTACAAACATAATTATTATTGTACAAACATATCATAAACAATAACAACAAATTTTGAGTACACAATCAATCAGCATAAACAAACCATTCATTTTTGCGCCTCTTGGTGGTCAGTATTGCAACAAAACTAAACAATGAGCATCACTTTAGCATGAATTGATCAGATGAGTTAATTGATGAATGCGTAGATTAAGTTTGAGAGGGGATTTTCGAGTGATCGAAGACAATGTTCCTCAGATCTTTGTGCTCAATAAGAGCGAATCCATTCGCAATATCGGCCGCATTCAACATTTTGAGCATACTTTCTTTGTTATTCACATCAACGCCCATAAAGTTGATCAAGTCAAAATCCTCGATTACTCGACACATCGATTCGTTCATTTCTTTATATCGCTTCAACACCACATCATCCTTCAATCAAAACTCATTGCCATCAAGATAAAACACTACGCAGAATTGATTCATTCAACTTGTTTCGTCATTCATATTTTACCCGATAATTGTACACTTGCGTTTTATTCCGCTGCTGACGAATGGCTACTGTGAGCCATCGGCTAAGAATGACTGCCTAAGAAAATATGTTTTACATTTTAGAATGTAAAATGACAGCATTTGATTGTGAAGTTAAAAACCCTCATAACAAATATGTGAACATTAACATCAGTGGAATAAACCACTTTGAGGAAACCTTGTCTTACGAAATAAATGGCTTATCATCTGGGAAAAAACAAAATGATCAATGGATGTTCTAAAAAATCATCACATCAAAAGAATGGAATTGTAATAATGGCTCGAAAAAAAACAGGATTTAAAAGAATGAAAAAGAGATCAATAAACGGAAACGTACATCGAGTAACTCGATAAATTTTCGTAAATTCGGTAACTGCTGGAAGAAATCTTCATTGAAAGGAAGATCGTTAGCAATCAAATCCATTTTCGAGAGCACATTCACCTGTGCCGTCTCAAGATTTACCATAACCGATAGTGCGCTCAAAACCACCGCAATGAACTTGCCCACATCTGCACAATACACACTGTCGCTAAGGTGCACTACCACAAGACGATGTCCCCATTTCTCAATCTGTCCTCGCAATAACTATATGTATTCACATCACTACTCATCAACAAAAATTATACAGCTGCGAACTACTTAGTAAAAACATTTCACTTTTTATTCCTTTTAAGTTAAACTGCATCTTCCAATCTATTCCATATACTTAGAGGTTAACAACAAAACGATGAAACACAAAAATTTTACAAGAGTTTTTAGCTGACCAAGGAACGGCCTCCTCAAAAATATTTGACCGTATTCATCAGAAAGAATCCCGAAAAACCAAACACTTTGAAACGATAAAAAACTGCAGACTGGGGGCAGAACTGCAACAAAGTAGTGGAACGATCTATTCTTTTCATTTGCTGTTATCGATCTATTCTTACCTTTTTTGGAAAGGTAATTGCATTACATCTTCTTCGAACATTACTTTGAATATTTATTTCTTCGAACATTACTTCGGATAAGTAAATATTCGAAGTAATGTTCGAAGATGCAATAAATTTCCAAAAAAAAGGAAAGAGTAGATCGATAGCAGCAAAAGCGAAATACAAATCATTGGAACTGACTGATAAAATGCAACGCTACTTACAGTGCGTATGATGCTTGCAATACAATCATCACTATTATAGAGTTCTAATTGTCCAGGAAAATCAATTAGCAAATAACCATCCATCGAAGAAAGTTTTTGATGCAACCATTCCATATTCCTACTCAACGTTCGCATACAATACCTAAATTTTCAAAGAAAAAATATGATACTGATAAATAATCACTAAAAGTGATTTGCAGAAATTAAACCTATGACAGGCTGGTTCAAACAATATAGCCTTATTCACCACTCTCGTAACACACGACGAAAACAAACTTTCCTAGAAAAACAATAACTCACAAAAATTCATAGTAATCCTCAAAAAAAAAAACTCTTCCTTACTATATCGTAGTGCCACAGAAATGAATAATTTCGGTGGCACAGTAATCAAAATTGAATATGAAGCATTACAATAATGTTTAGTTCCTTTATGAGTATGTACTAGTTTGCTAATATTCTCATCAAATGTTATTTATTACAAAATATAACACGCAAAAATGACCAGTTAACCAGAGAAAATGCAGTTGTTATGCGGATCACACCTTAACATGAATGTTGAGAATTCTAAGCAAAACTTACAATAGGTCCAAAACATTGAATGGTAAATTGCATCTAACAAACAAAACATCATGTAATGAGAACAAAAAAGTGCGTAAAACATACTGCAAAGCACCATTTGGTCCGAGCTTTAGACGTTGCATTGTTTCGTCAACAGTGATCAATTCTCGTATATCCACATCGCATTCATAAGGCATAAAGTCGTTAGCTGGATCGAGATTCACGCATACTGTACGTCTACCTAGAGCAGTAAGCAACTGTGACATGCCGCTGCAGTAAGTCGATTTACCAGCTCCCGGTGCTCCAATAATAATTTGTCCAAACATTGATTCCGCCTGTTACGAAGATCTAACCCGAAACAGCACTTGCACGAATGCTTACTGCAACCGGAACGAAAATTTAAAAAAAAAACCCAAACACAGCCTTAGTTTTAAACAAAACCTAAAAAACACTGCACCATTCAGTAAAGATCCAGTTTATAATGTATACAGAAAATTTCGTTCATATTTTCAATTGATAGTTCACAGAATGACGACATACGACGAACAAATTTACGGTTCTCATGCAAAGAAACTTCATGGTTCGTTTTGAATAATAAGATCACACGTAAAGTTAGCATGCTTCGGCTAAACGGTCAGTTCAGAAGGAAATATTTAACAACCTAACCAGTCTTTTATATCAGCCACAAGTACGCAGACCGCACAATGAGTACGTGCCTCGTTAATAGTGAAAACCCTTCGTGCACAATCACCGAGGAATCGTTCAATGGCCACGTTTCTGTTGCAAAAGTTCGTGGTCGGATGTGTCGCTTCTCTGCGTCTCTCACTTGACTCCTCAGGACATTATAGATAAGTAGCAAATCGATTCAGTGATAACCATGCAGCTTGTCGAGAAACCACAGAAAACAACCTCAATCTTACACTAAGTGTATTGTTTAGGCTGATGAATGTGCGCTAGGGTTTGCAAAATCCCGATCATTTTCTCAATCACGGAATCGGGATTTGATCACGAGATTGCTCTTCAATCTTCGAATTGAAAAGCAACTTTTGCAGTATAGGCATGATCGGTAACAAATAAAAAACCAACAAAATCAGCTCGAAAAATGGAAAAACGACCCCTCCCAAACAAATTTTCCTCATCTGTCCATATCAACCGAAAATCACTCGTACTATTGACGAAATTCATCTCGTGCAAGTCATTTTGCCACATTTGTTTGACGGTCTACATGTCCAACCTAGGATAAAGTGAATATAAATGTTAACATTTTCAGCTTCGTTATCCATCTCAATCGCTCTTATAATCACCAATCAACTGATTCTTTATGACTACTCAAGTGCGATAATAACGATTGTTATAATACCCACACGAGCGAAATTTTTTGGCTAGCATGACCGGTGAGTGCAGAATCGGTTTCTCATAATTATATCCATCACTTCCCAATCCAAGGAGGGAAAAGTTTATTTAACTAATTTGAACAGAAGCTTAAGTGGGTAACATTAGATTACGTGACTGAGTTTAAAGGGAAGACCGAGGATAAGTTTCGCGGATTGGGTGGGGTAAGATAGCTTAGCATGGTCTAATTTACATGACGCAAATATTTAAAAAAATATCCAGTTGATACTGCAGAGTAAATTTTCAGGAGTATTCGATATCAGTTTGGAGAAAGGTAATGAAAATTAGACGAAGGCAGTACGAAGGTGCGCAATGATTGTAATACAGTACAAGTGAACAAAGAGACGGGAGGAAGACTCCGGGAATTTTGTGATCATGTGATGATATGTTGTGATATTATACCATGTGACGATACATTTGTAANNNNTAATTGTCGCAAAACCCTCACTACTCTCTGCGAAGAGTGAGGGATGTACAAAGATTAAAGTGTTGTAGAATTCTGACGAAAGAGCTAAATTTATAGCTGTTTCGTGTAATGCCCTTCGACTGGGACAGAGTCTGGCGACGTGCTTTTTTCTATGCTTAAGGTCTGAGAATTTCGGGCGAGTTCTAAACAGCTGGAATTCTTTCCAACACACGTAGGCACTCACCACCCTGGATTTGGTAGCAACTTGCTTGCTGATGCACTTTTTGGTGTCACTTGTCGGCATTTGCAACAGACCAGCTGTTTCGCGAGACGGGGGTAGGAACCCGTCTAGCGAACAACTCGGCCGTTCGTTTTTTTTTTTGTCGAAAGTTGATGATTTAAACAGAAAATGATGTGTGTTATGATATGTGTCAAACGATAATGACATGTGCTACGGAACAGTAGTAGCAAAAGGAATTTATAATTCCTTCCTGTAAACTGAGGAAAGTGGAATGAATCGTGACATCCGTAAAGAATTTTTTCAACACTGGTGAATGTAATCCTATCTGAACCGTATCACGTACATATAACGTCTAAACAGACGTCAACACTGATCAACGCTAGCACTTAAGGCATCGGAATCTTAGGCTAAACATAAGAGGAAGATTGAATTCCTCAAGAGCAGATACCATCACAATTTCCCGAAACTATATGTTCAGAACAATTCGGTGGTATCAAAACACCACCGCGTTATCGGGCGAAGGTCAAGAGTCACTCATCCGATTTTTAATTTAAAAAAAAAAAAAAAGAAGATACGGAGAAGGCTTGCTTACTTTCGACACTTGTCGGTGGGATCGTTTTAATCGAGTTGCACTCTTTTTGCACATTCGCCGCTCTTTCCTTCGTTACTTCGAACAAATGCATTTCAATGATTACGTTGCTGCTCGCGTCATTACTGTTTTCACAAATTACGGAATCTTGGGAATTCATCATCAATTGTGTTTTCTTTGAGAAATCTATGTCATGTTCATTCCGGTCTTTGGATGAATCAGTTGCCATTGATGAGCTGGACTTTGGCTTATTATCGTTCCTATTGCTCACAACGAACAACCTCGAGGATAAATTCACTGCTCTTTTCGCAATACTTTCTTTCACGACCTTATACCCCATGTAATCTGTTCCCTTCTGAATGTAATCAGGATATCTCCTCAATTGTATTAAAGTTGGTATTCTGCGCTCGTTAATCCTCATCAGAAGTGCACGCAAGAGATCATCAGAGATATTCGTTTTCAATTTGTTCAGTGCATCAATGACGAGTTCTAGAGGTTTATCTCTTTTGAACAAATCGATGTCTTGACGATATGCCGTGAATCATCTTTTCATTGTCACGTAGATGGTAAACAACAAATTGCATTTGAACGAGCTGGGATGATTTATGCTTCATTCGTGATGAGTATACTACCAAATTCTTACAAAATGACTTGTGTTATGAATCCCGAAATTCCGTGAATCCCGGAAATACGAATCCCAGAATCGGGATAGAGATTCAAAAGTCGAGATCCTCAGGATCCCGTACAAACATTAATCATCAGCAACTTAATTACATCCTAACAATACTTGGCAATTTTAGGCCTGAACATATAAACGTGTTCTTAAGAGCATAAGAAAGTGTATCCCAATCACTCTTCAGGTGGTAGATCTGTTTATTTTGTATAGAAAATAGACCTCTACAATGGATAAATATATGCAATTAGCTAAGGTTTGCCGCCAGTTGATTTAAGATCAGATTGACGGTATAATGAACCGAGTGTCGACCAAAACGAGGATACATCTTCTGAAGAGGATAAGGAAAGTTAACACAACCCACCGTAACTTTTCAGTTTCGACGAACTTCTCCAAGGAATGATGTTACCGAAATGAAAGTTCTTGCGAAATCTGGTGAGGAATGCACAGCTTACAGTAGGTCAGAGTTGGATGAAATGAATGAATGTCAAATCAAGGATATATTCTTTAACGAAAACCACAAACGTGATTAGAATTCACTTTTAGTTTGTAAAATTACAAGTTCGCAAGCTCTTTGATGAACGTCGTGATCAACATGCTTGAAAACTTGTTGTGCTATACTAATTAAACTCCATTAGTGGCCTCCTTTCCGGCACTGAACTCACTGCAATCACGGGCATGGAAACACCGGTATCTTTTTTCTTACGTTTCATACAAGAACACGACGCAAAGTTGGTCATCAGGATGATGCAAACAAATGAACGGACGTCAGTTATGTGGGTAAATAAATGAACGCTCGACAACACATGATCCAAAAATGTGATGAAATCGGTGTGCTTTTGGGGCACGGCTCAGGATGCCTTTAGTTTGAAAATTGTGATTCTGATAATCCTATTTTGCTCCATAGACTGATCAAAACACGTACAATGTATGGACATGAGCAGCGAAATCTGGTCACTAAGCCTGGAAAATAACTCCGAAAATTGATGTGTTCATTTGAAGCCAACCATATTGGCTTGGTAAAATGTAAATGTATGATATCAAAGTATCTGGAGCATCCGAAACTGTGAAAAAATAGATGTAACTACAGTCGAATCTGATAATTTAGCTAGTTGTCTATCGAAATACGGTTTTATGGACAATTGAAATTTCTATCAGGAACCACTTGTAAGGTATGAGAAAACTTTCTATAGAGTCTTGCAACTGAAGTAAGTAACATCTTGGAACGACGCACATTAAGTACACTGCACTAGGTTACGGCATAATGAAGTGTATGCTGACAAAAAGCAGAATGCACGTTTTCCAGAGAATTGAAGTTTCATTCAGCAATTGTTTTGTCTACGAGAAATTTGTTTCTGAAGAAGAAACAAGGCATTCATTTCAACGCATTAGTTGCAACAAGAGAAAAACGGGCTTTGTGTGTAGCAAAAATAAGGTGAATATGGAACATAATCCAAGTATAATGTTTATTCATTAAGTTAAATTATCAAAGATCACTGACAACTGCTCAGAAATAACGATGAACGATAACGTTGCACGCAAAGTGATAACGATCCACTCTATTTCATTTCAGATTGACCTCAAATTGCGCAACTATCTCTCCAATCGAGTGCTCTTCTCAGTCGAGTTCAAAATTAAAAATAAGCATTTCTTAAGAAAATATTCTAATCAACTCCTAAGAATTCTCATAGTTTCAGACATAAACTTTCTTACAACCATACAGTTTAGCATAGTGAGGGTTCGATTGGAATCCGACTGAATCGAATTTTTAAGATTCCAACCGGATTTTGAAATTATCGGTCCGGATCCGTCCAAATCTGTTGTTCAAAATTCCAAAATTCGTTATTCTGACTGAACCTGAAAATCATTCGATCGGAATCTACGTTTCGTCGGATTTTACCGATCGAACCTCGATTGTATACCATCATTACTTTAGCGCTGAATGCGTCTAAAAAGTACCGAAGAAGACTTTAAAAAGCGCTTAACAATCAAAATATAAATTTATAAAGAAATGAATATCTAATAAGCTACAACGTGAGTATTACATAATTGATTAATTATCATCGTTTCTTAATTTAGATTAATGAATTCAGATCATCTTGGTTTTGTCCACAGCACGAGACTAGTATTGTATTCACTTTGTAAACGCATCGCCTGCAATTAGAATTTCAACTGCTTGTAATAATTTCGAAGTGATTTACTATGTGAGTTCGACCCTACGTATTTGAATTTGACGGCATCGCTGAAAATATGAGCACACACTGAATGTGTGAAAAAACTTCAGAGTATGTTATATGTCCGAATATATCAATATGTCGCAATAAAAAAAGACTTTGGAATGCTCAGAGTAATTGTTTGGAGTGAACCATTATCCTGGTTTCTTACGGTTTTGATGCATTGGCAGTTCATTATTCATCCAATTCTGAACCTTGATAAATGCTCCAATACAACCAAAACATTTCGAATCAATTATGATGCTTACTCACCTCCTCTTTCAGTCTTGAATAATTTGTCTCGGCATCTTTTACTGCAGCTGCTTCTCGTAACGTAGCACTGTTCTGTTCAATGTATTGCCACTTTTTCTGCACATTTTTTAACTGGAACGTGAGGCTTTAATTAGAAACAGGTGAATCACAGTTAGGTTGATTAAGCATTTGAACTTGCTGCTTTTTCGGAACGAATGATATGGTAGTAGGCGGTGATCATAATGATAATCGCAAATGTGGTTGAAATAATGAGCGTAAATCATCATTCTCAGTGATGTTGTGAAACGGATGGATTGTGATCCAGTGGGAAATAACTTGTTCAGCCGACAGTTACGAACAATGTCAGTGTCTCAGTTGTAGGATCAAAATTAATTTCTAAAAACTCCGTAAGATTTTATGAATAAGCACTGTTATACTTCTGTACAACGAAACTATAACTTTCTTTCAGTTTGCATTCAGTGAACTTTAAAAATGTTTTTCTTAGGACCCAGTGAGAGGTTTCAGCCCGCAGACCCTCTCGTCAGACACAATATTAAGATTTACCGTCGTATATTCATCGTTATCGTTTAACTGTGCTTGTGCATTCGCCAGATCTCTTGTGAGTTGTTGATTTTTGCTTTCAACAGCTGGTAGAATCTCGTTCAACTGATCGCGACGATGTTGTAATCCCTAGACATGCATTAACTCATCAGTGAAATAAACTCCAATTAAATTTAATGGCCTTCACGTTTTTGGTGATCACTGTTTCTTAATTATGGAACAGGAATACTGTCGTTACGGTCTATGAAAACGAGTGATCAAATGGACGGTATTCTTGAGTTCTGTCGGTTTATTATAAGCGAGCAACTGATGAGTAATTAATGATTGCTTCATAAAACTGTCACTTATTAAATAACTTCCAAGACATTCAGCATATGCAAACTCAGTGTCCATTTGCTTAGAGTTCATTTGTGATGCGATAAGCACAGACTGATTCTAACAAATATTTTTAAATGATTTGATGTATCGAAATGAATTTCATTGCTCATTTGAATTAACAGCAAAACACTTTAACTGTAATCAACCATCCACAAAGCTGCTGCAATAAAATACAGTTCACAGCTAGAGGCGCTGATTAAAAAGGTTCAGTATATCCAAGTTAATGCACATCATTGAAAACTTACAAAAATAATCACTGCCAGTAGCATTATTGCTGCTATTCTCATGATAATAATTGTTATTGCTATCGCTGTTATTACCGATAAAATGATGTATACCCACCTGTTTCTTCTGTTCAATATCCGCTCTCAACGCATTACGATCTTCGAACTCTTCCATTTTGTTGTTCATTTCATGCATTCGTTGTACAAAATTACTCATGTCGGATCTTAGTTTACGTTCGTTTTCTTCCAATGTAATCAGCTCTTCTTGCAAGCGAACGTGTACTTTAAATCAGTTCCAATCAAAATCAACGCAACAAAGAAGTACAGCAAAACGAAGCCAGATAGATCATCACGGGCGATATCGCCAATTTTACAGTATCTAGGGGAGTGTTTGAAGTGAAAAGATCGAGCTTGGCGCAACTTAGAGCTTTAGGTAGTCACTGGAATAGGAGGGTTGGCTGATTACATGATCTTAGAAATTAACTGCCTTATCATGCACCCCCAATATGACGTTATTAAGCGAATGTAGCTAACAGTAAGTCATAATCTTGATGTGATAGGGTTGCTGTTGTGTAATATAAAATAGAGATCAGATAATATAGAAAATAGAGATAAGGAAGGCCATGAGTAGATAACTAAGTTTCAATAATGTTAATTGCTATCAATGATGCTTAGGCTTCTGAACCAAAAAAATTTTCTTGACTTCCTCAAAAATATATCAAAGCAACATTCAGTAGCCGCAGCTAAAATCGGCACGATATTTTTTAGGAGCCGGAGGGAAGCGAAGCAAACTTCGGATCCGGAGCCGAAGTCTTAGAAAATGTGGAGACGGAGCCGCGTCAATATTTTCAAATCGAGCATCATTGGTTAGGACATTAATTTCTTGAAAGAGCCCACTTCAGAAATCTGAAGCCCGTATGCACTGTTATCGTTATCATCATTTATTCGTGGAAGCTATCGATATTACGGTCTTCCGAATAATATGCATCAATCTCCAATTGTTTAGACCGCAATGCATTCGTTGCTAATATATACTCCTCGAAATCACGTGCACCGAGAAGAAGAAATGTTGGAGTGTTGAAACTCGCAGTTTCAGCCTCCCCCCCCCTCTCTCCCCACAAAAAAATGCGAGCTACAACCAAAAATTCGAAAATTCAGTTTTGGAACTGGAATCGAAGCCGAACTACTGAAAAATTCAGAGCAGGAACCGAAAACTTGCAAAAGCAAGGCCGGAACTGGAGCCGGAATTTCAAAAATGCGCAGCTGAAGTCGGATCCGAGATTTCAAAGCTGAAAAATGCGGAGCGGAATCTGAGTCAATTTTTTTTTGAAATTAGGCATCACTGGCTAATATGGTATATTTTCGAGTTAATATGATTTCGTCGATATACAAAATATGATATTTGAAATGTTTCGTGAAGAATGGATATCATCCAATTAATTGCAAACATGCAATGATACCACTTAATCGCAACCTCTAATTTTTGTATAGTTATTACATTTTGATGCATGTAAAAGAGAGATGCGATAAGCCAGCAATCGTTTACGAAAAGATGGTTTGCAAGCACACCATTTCAATTCAAATACAATTTCCAGTTGCTAAAGTTCTCATCATTCAAACTTATCGATGTCATATTGAGTCATTTACGAATTTTCTCATTATATTTCGATTGGGTGAACTCACTTCAATGCTCGAATTCGGAGAGTTTCGATGAAAATGAGTAATATTTAAAACATACAATCTTGAAGTTGTGATGAGGATATGGTTGGATCGTTGAATGAAATCACTGCAGATGCATCCAAACTAGTTGCAGCAGTTGTAAGGTCTGTTTTGGTGCAATTCAATGAAATTATTTCAAGAAAACGTAAGATATCTTCTGAATTGTGCACAACTCGATTCTCTTGTTCTATTTTGAGTTGTTCATACGAGTCCAAAAATTCATCGATTTGAATCTCTTTCATTTTCAGCTCACGATATTTTTCGCTCTTCTCACCTGAAGAAATGGAGGAATCAAGTTGAGGGAAAGTGTAGTTGTATGGTTCATAGCTAAATTCGAACCTGACCATTTTGTTATTACTTGACTTTAGATGAAATTTTCGCATCCGTTATATGCAATAATGTGGATAGTCAAATGAAAATGATCAGATCAGAAAATGATAATAACTTAGAGGCAAATGAATCGATAACAATTTTGAAGTGATAAGAACGGTACATTAAATTAACCGTTTCTTATTCGCAAGAACATACCTATTATACCATCATATTCGCTTTCGAATTCACGTAGCTCTTCGTTACATTGATCGATATTTTCCATTATCGAATCGATCCTTCAAAAAAAAAACAAAAAATAAATTCATCTGAACGTTTGATTATTTCATTGTTCACGGAAAATCACGTCATCTAATAATTTGCTTAAATCGTCAAAAACATTGGCAGATGTGTATCCGGAAATAATTTGAGACATTTTTAAAACAAGCAGCAAACTTAACTGTTTTTGCATAGCATTCACTTCATCAGTCGTTTTAATAACGATCTGTTTGAGTCTCTCTCTTTGCTCTTGAGGTGTGCCTTCAGCATTCATTTCTTCACTTATCGCTGCTTTCTTAGCCTCCATTTCGGCTAGTCGCTCGTGGAGCAACACTGATCGCAAAAAAATCAGTAGAACGAATGTGACAATGGTAGTTGTATAAATGATGATAATATTATTATTTTCATTATTATTGTTATTTTCTAGCATTAGTTTCACTGTGATTTTTGGTGAATATGTGGCTAATTTAGCAAACTAAACAGCTGAAAGCCTCCAACTAGCTCTTTGTTTAAGCGTAGAATTGGCCATTTCTTCATCCAATTCCTCTTTTCGTTGATTCAGTTCAGACAGTTGTTGTTCCTTCGTACTGTAATCCTCATTTAGCCTTAATGCCTCTTGCTTCAGTTCTTCGAATTGCTCACGGACGCTTATATCCTGAATATAAAAACGATTTGAAAAGTCATCTACATTTCCATTGATTTCATCGAGTTTATTTGGATCAAATTTATCGACCAATCCTTGTTAGACCTTTGTTTATGGTGTTACTTACAGTTATATGGGAGTGGATTATTATTCTTAGGATTAGATTTTATGCCATCTTACCATATCACTTATTATGTCACCATTTTTTGCTTTCTCTGAATCGATTTGCTTTTGAATCTCTTCGATTTCATTCTCACTTTGTTGACGATCAGCAAATAGTTCATGCAAACTTTTTTCAGCTTCATCGTTTCGCAATTGGAGTTCGTTTAGCTCTTCTTCCAGCTCGCCCAAATCCCAGTTTGTATTCAGTCTATCGACGATCTTGAATAATGAAACGCGATTAAACTTCGGTCTCACCCTCTTATTCAATAAACCACCGCTGAGTGGATGCCTTTCCACTCAGTCCTGCTCCTGTATTTCCTAATTTTTTAGGGTTCTCAAAACCCTGTACAGCTTCTTTTTTGTATTATTTGATGCAAATCAATGTGCTATGGAATCGGTTTGCCTCTGATCTATATTTTCGTCTGATGTTCGTGAAGTGGTTATGAATGGGTTGTTGTCGTCTCTTCTCACCGATCAGCGTATGTGGGTACGAGCAGCTTTTGTTCAATAAGACAAAAGCAATAAATCATTTCATGCGAAATCATCCAGGATTTTATTTAAGTTCAGCGAACAGCATCATCAATATCTCGGAATGTTGATTACTAAACGAAAAAAAGTGTAGCAATCAAAATTCTTCGCTATTAGTGCCAAAAGTCGCTTGAATGGAAGAGAAGAATCGTCCGGTTATTCAGATGAATTTTCAGTTGCACTTTCGTTTGTTAGTTGATGCAAACATCTGATTTTCGTTGTGCAAGTTCTCTATTCACAGGGTTATACAGGATTATCGACATGTTGCCTTTCTGTTGAGATTTGCTTGCAGCTTTTACGAATCTTAATGAAACTGCTACAAAAATCACAATCCAATACCATATTACAATCCAAAAGACGCCCTTGTAGATCGCGGATTGTATTCGCTTCTTCTTCAGCCCTGAAGCGAAAAAATAACGCAAAATTTTTTCAGTCATATCGGTCATCTGCAAATTCTAATCTTATTACTACAATTCTGAAAGTGCCACTATTAACTCAGTAATGATTAGCAACAACGCGGCTGTATTTAAAAATGAGTTTATGGAGAAACCTTCGATAAGCACTCCTCTCAACAAAATAGCACTCTCAGAGAGTTTCATTCCGAATGGCCACAATGCATAGATGATTTCGAATGGCAATTTTTAAAAATGAACCTTCTCTCATAAATCATCAAATTTTGCTGATCTCGTTCGCCTCTGTCCAATTCTTTTCTCAACATTTCAATTTCAGATGAAAGCTCACTGCTTTTTTGCCGTAATAATGAAATGTAATAGGATGTATCAAGAATTTGCCGATTTGCTGAAAATGTTTCAGCATATAGATGTACACATCAATGTATAGCTGAATAAATGACTCATCTGAAGAAGTACACAAGTACTGTGGCTATTTGGTAGGGAATACTCAGCAGATTCAATGACTGCAATAATATCATTGACATTGAGTTCATGATAATGTCAACTGATATCAACTATGAACATAATAACTGTTCACGGCACCATCATGGATGCTATCAAAATAATTTTCATCATGACGGTATTAATATCATTTCAATCACCTTGATATTGTGAAAACGAGTATAAATAGAACTATTGTTTAATGAAATGATAATACGATCACTAATGAGAAGTAATATCACAATCACTAGCACATGCATATCATCATCAGGAAACATACCTCCGATTCTACTAGGTGGAGCACGAACACCGGATAAACCTTGCTGTGTGATAGGCCTCATTGAAGAACCAGGCGGTGCGACATTTCGACTGAAACCAGATGTCGGAGGACGCACAATTGAAGTAGTGCTTTGAGTTGCCGTACCCGCTCGACTTTGAACGCGTTCACCCTGAATTCTCATGGCATTTGCAATTTCCTTCAACGCTATTTCCAGCGCTGAACTCAAGCATTAATTAGAATATGGCTCTGAATTTCCAATACTTGAAACCTGATTTGAATATATCATTAGCAACACCAACAAAAGTCGAATCATAACGAGAAATTAACGATGAGTAACCAGTGAAGTGCGTGGTGGCTGCATGATTCCAGTTCGGCTCACTGCAATGAAATAAAATAAATAAACTATCTGCAAAATATATTCTGAATTTATTCATTGGTAATTATTCGAATGTAATAAGAAATATTGCTTGGAAACAAACGTATTTCTTTGCTCGTACAAAGATAATATTCTTGCATAATTATAATTATAATATAAATGATCATAAAAAATTAAAGATTATTGACAACAAAGCTGGGACAATGCTATCCTTACTATAAAGTTATTCTGGAGTATTGGTCTACATGCAAGCGAATTTAGCCTCGGTCCCACAACATCCACTCCATTTGGCTGCGAATCTACTTATAGCAGTAATTTGCAAATTTGGAGAGAACGCGATCCACTAGAGTGGCCATTAACTATTAAGCTATGATGCAACATAACCTGAACATTCGGATTAGTAACTATGTTTTCGAGAAGAAAGTCTTCACTTAAGAACGATTCATTTGCATGCAGGTTACTAAAGTAAAAAATGAATCGAATTTAATTGCCTTCATTCTCAGTCAAAATTGCAAGAGAACTCGTATTTTTTCTCCAACGTATGAAAATTCAAGTGAGTGAAGTCAATTGAGCATTGGGGATTGCTGTCCGGCTGTAATATTTTGATGATCTTAAGGCTTTTTTCAATTAGTGATCGTCGTTGCCTCCTACTCTACGCATCTATGTATACGTCGAACCTTCCAAAGTGATGCATCACCTTACACTTACGGGTGTCATGGCCTTTAGTTCCCTCCCGTTGAGCTTATACATGCACATGGTCCTTACCTGCACGCTGTACAAGGTTACCGTCTGCAGTCATTGATGTTCTACTGAGAGGACGTTCATTTACGTCTGAAAAAATAATTGATCTTCTTTTGAAGTATTTGCTATGAACATAATATTTGTTGAATCATTCGAGCATTATTTCATAGTACAACATAGCACAACGTTGTTCAGTAACTGTTATACATAAGTTTTCAGTCGTAAGATGAATAGCTAAGCAAGAAATTCATATCATGGAATCATGAAATGACCGTTCACAAAGCAACAGATTGCATTTTCAGTTACTATTAATTTTAAGAATTCAAAAGTTACTCCTTGATGCTGTAGTAGGACGTCTTACGCCACGTGCTGAAGTGGCTCGTGATCCAGCTGAAGTTTTTGGTCGAGCTGATGATATTGAATAGGATGACATAATTCTAATAGCTGAAACAATATGTGTTAGAACCGTTCAGGTTACTATAATCAATTTTTTCATTGTTACTGTGGTTATGGCTGATCCCCATAAGAACGAGGGTTAAATTTGAGCAAATATATATGAGTATTATACTGAAAGCAATAATACTGGCTATGTATGATTCGGTGTTGGATGAATTTAAAAAAAACTATATTTGGAGTGTAAAAAACATGAGAATTGTTTTCACAACGTATCTATTTGCAAAAACAAGATTGATTGACATTATATGATAGATGACTTATTTTTGAATAAAACGCAACAACCATGACTACTTTTGTGTCGTTGTGAATGAGGGAATGACGAACCTCATCAACTGATCACCGCATGTAGTCAGACTTGTTACCATGACAACATATCCTAGGACAGAGTCGCTCGCACCTATCTTACATCTAATAGTGTTGCAGTTCATTCATTGTTCCAAAAGTGCGAATGAACACAAAAATACGAACGACTTAAGGGGAACGAACGCTCGGATGATGACAATATTGATGATAACAATAAAATTATACCCATTAGCAGTGGTAAGAACGCGAAAAAAAAGATAAATATCGCAACAACATTGATTGTCTTATCTTTACATTCCGCTTGGTTGTTATTTTATTATTATCTAACAGTATCACTATCACCACTGTTCACTTATTTTTAACGAGCACATTCTTAGTTAGTTTTTCTTAGCTAAAGCTCGATTCGTTTATCCGAGCCTACTAATGATATTAAATAAAACTGATTTGCTTTCTTCTAGTGGTCAAATTACTAGTAGTAATATCACTTAAAGTTGGCTCAATGGCCAGCGATCGAAATCGAAAGCAGTTGATCGACCGGCAAGATCGGAAAGTCGAATTTCAATGGTCACTGATAGCGTGCTCGGTCGCCTGCCACTGAAAAAATATTTTGGTTCGTACGTTCAGTATTAATGATACAATAGTAATACTTGTGATAACAGCAACAACAGTTATAATCAACATATGATAATGATAAAAAGACACATTGATTGATGATGACAAGAATGATAGCGGTAGTGATAGGAATAATACTAACAATGATCATAGTGAAGATTAACGATATTATTACGATAATAACAATGATAGCAATAGGATAATAACAACTTATTATTATCACTACTAATAAAGTTGATGAAAATGGAAAAAAATGTCGGGAATATATTTGCTCAATATACTTATTTGTTTATGTTTATTTTATTACACTGCTATTTTTCTTGACTTGAATTGGTTCCGTGCCGTTCGCAATCGAAGATGGCTGGAACGAATTAAAATCACAAATTTCTCCAAGAACCAGATTTTTGTTATTAACACCCCATTCATTTACTCATTCATCAATTGCGTATCAATTTTCAGTGTACATTTCGAAGGAACGTCTTTTATTCCGTCTTCAACGGTATGTTCTGAAGCTTTTTACACCAATAATTCAGACTCCATTTTTTCTTCAAACGGATCGCTTTAAAAGTCAAATCAAATCACACAAATCGAACCATTAACCAACGAATAAATTTGAGATGCATTTTCTTTCAATTTCATTTTCCTTTCCGTTTCATTCACGCACTACT